CCCTAGGTCATTAAGTTAGCTTAAGTGTAATCCGATCCGAGCTAGAGTGGCCAACTAAAATAAGTGATACGTGCAACAGTGTTACGCAGTTGTCAATGATAGCTCGTTTATTATTTTGGATAATGAATTTTGGAGTACAATAATAATTTTATACATTACTTTTAATATTTATAGCACATCGATTTCTAATAAACCTAATCAATCCGTATTAATATTACAATTCATCGTTATAAAAGTTTATTAGAAAAATGAATACATTGATATGGACTAGGCCCTAGGGCATTACTCGGACCAAGAACTAATTTATACAAAGTACTTCAATTCCTCCGTTAAATATTAATTGTAATTTGCAACAAAGGGGTATTATTTGTAAGACATAAAATATTTCTTTTTTACAATTAATAATTAACGGAGAAATTATATATTGAGTATTAGCTAATACACCTTTTGAGAAACAAACCTTTATAACCTAACCAAGTAAAGTTACTATTAATTAAGTTATATTTAGATATTTAAAATAATAATGAAGTACTCAGTATATTCTTAACTTAGGGTTATTTTTTTTTAAATAATAATAATAATAATAATAATAATTCTAAGTCTCTTTCTTTTACATTCCAATATACTACAGTATATAATATATATCTTGTAAATTTTATCATCATTATGCAAACCGCTAAATTTTGATTTAAATATAACAAATTTCTGGTTAAGTATTTGCCTTAGCTAAGTTAGCTTGAGTGTTTTGCCTACTTCTGCATCATCTGCAGATTAGAATTTCAACGTCAAAAATTAGAGTATGTTCATATTTACTGAACTGAGCTGAACTAAACTGATTGGAGCAATTGAACTGAACTGAAATGATTGGAGCTGAACTGAAATGATATTTTATGAGAGAGGCAAATTAGGAGCTGAAATGATTAGAGCTAAAGTGAACTGAACTTAAATTGAGTAAATGTGAATATGCCTTTATGCTGACTGGTTGATAGTTGATTTTTCACATAACATTTATTTTTATATATTTTTTTATTAATAATTAGCTCCGCAGGTCAACACTTGAGAGTTGAGGGGAGATAAGGTATCCCTCTACTCCCAAACATTTTCTAGTCAGCGGAGTTTGAACTTGTGACTCAGGACCTTTAAGTCACAATGTGAATATTCTTGAAGTAAGAGAATGCCCTGCTCCTAAGCTTTCCTTGATTAAAGGTACTAATAAAAATTTATTTAAAAGTAAATTTCAGTTTAGTAACACAATATTGGAATATGATATTGGAAATTTACTAAACTGAAATTTAATTCAATCATTAATAATATAAAGTAGTGACCACTATTAGTTTTTCATTTCAATTCAGTTCAGTCCAGTTCAGTTTCTAATTTCTTTCTCTTATAAACAATTCATTTTAGCTCGGTTCACTTCAATTTCAATCAGTTCAGCTCATTTGTTTTCCGTACGTAATCGGAACATGCCCCAAGTACCTATAAGGCTATAACTAAGTTAATGGTTAGGACTTAGGAGATTATCACCTTTGATGTAAATATTATTCTTGATCCCTTTCTCAAGAAGACTGTGTACAAAAAGTAGTATTTACGTATACCGGTAAACGTAAATAAAGAATATGTTAAAAGGGTAGTGTTCAAATAAACTCCAAATTGAACTATATTATTGTACTTGACTTGAATTTATATACTTGGTATTCATTAAAAATCATAACTTCCTTTTAACAAAATCAACTTCTAAATAGGAATGATCACTGGGCCAGATGATTAAACTAGCTCAATTTGATTTAATGTTACCAACTTTGAGCTTGAGCTTGAGCTTGCCTAAGCTAGCTTGATCTTTAATAATAATGTTCTATTTAAACTTAGCTTAATAAGAATTATTTTTGCTCAAACTGAATTCTAAGCTAGATCGATTCAATAATAAAACAAGTTGAAATTGCACAATAAAATTATGTTGTTACTTGGCTTAATTAATTAACTGTATTGTTATTATTCAACTTGGTAAGTTGTGTTAAAGATTCTCATTTCATTTAGGTTTTTGGGTAATGTAAGATTCTTCTAAGAATAGGTATTTTTCTTTACCTAACAAGAGTTGTATATAAAAATTGAGATAGAATTTGATTTAATTGATAGTCGAACCATAGTTTAAACGCAAACCAACTTATCAATAAAAAATGAACCAAGATCAAACTATATTTTGACCAGACCAACTCAAAATTGGTTATTAGACGTACGTTTTGCTCATGTCCATTGATTTTACGTCTAATAACTTCTTTCACACGTACTTCATAATACCAAAAAATAACTATGTTAGTAATGTCACATAAACGCTGTACTATTCAATTATTATACATGCAGAAAATTCCGAAAAATTATTACTCCGTATATAAACTCTCTCGTAAAATTGTAATACTATAGTTTGAGACTTTGAGTACATAACATCACTTATATGCATCACTTACATCAAGCTCAAGGACACCAAAAAACTACAACCTACATGTGGACTCTACATAACATAAATGAGCACACCCTATAATTGGTGAAGGACATGAAGACAACTATATTTTTATCATTTAGCATTTGTTTTAACATTATTATTTCTCAAAAATTATCATACAAGATAAAATAATTCAAACCCACAATACATGTGTTATTTTTTTATATTTCCAAAAGAAAATAAATAATAAAAATTTATGAGTTGGCTTTCTATCTGCATCAGATAGATTTCAAACCCAATAATGCAATTTTTCTTTGTAAAGGATAACACTCAAGTTGCCAACTTCATACAAAAACAATAAAGTGAAATTGTAATAGTGTTACATAACTTTATCTTATTTTACTATTTGATATTTTAAGGGAGCTTTAGATTATGTTAACATAAAATGCAGTAGTATTTTACCAGAGTGACCCCAACCCAATCATTCAGTGAGCCCATCAATACATGGCCCACAAAATTGATGGTATAGATAGATCAATGTATAATGGGCCCATTATGGGCCCACCAAAGTAGGGTCATTTATAAACCCACCATTGATATCTAATTGTGCCAGCAAAACCCAAATCATAAAATATTCAATTTTTTATTTTTCAAAAAATAACCAAAAAGTAAATTTCTTTTCCTTTTTTTAACCATTTTTTTATAATTTATATTTTTAAAAAAGGTGAAGGAATTAATAAAAAGGGTGAAAGAATGATCCACCTGTTTGTCAGTGACAATGTACATTGGTTTAGGCAATGACCAGCAAGCTGGGTCTCACCACCTGAGCAATACCTGGAACTGATAAGGTTGTGGGCCCCACCTTTTCTCTCTTTTTTTACCTTTTTTTCTCTCTCATTTTCATCATAGACTAGCTGTAATTGTAAACGTGTGATTCATTTTAACTGTAAATTCACTAAATATCACACATGATTTTTAGAGCATGCAGTAATTTTTGACAACGATAAGTTACTGTTCATGATTTGTTTTACCTTAATAATACTCCCTATAAGGGGGTTCATAATGGGGCAAGTTTCTCTTCTCTGATCTATTGAACTATCCGTTGCGTGTACCATACATTTAAGACTATATAAGATTATACATAAGTATATTTTAAAGAGAATACAAGACTCATAACATTTATATTTGTTCGAGTCTCACTGAATGCAGAAATTTTTTATCGGAAGACTCACTCATCTTAAGCTAGGTGTGTAATAATCCGAGTCAAATTCTGATGTAGCAGAAGTTAAAATCTGGTAAATTGAGTGGGGCAAACTAAAAAAAACATTCATATTTGTTCCAAAGGATCGGAGGTTGTTAATACACAACTTTTTGTAGACTATTGGTCAAACTTTTTTGATCAACCAATATGTATAGGAAGAATTGTAGACTTGGTACAACTTTACAATGTATCAAAACTACTTTTTATTCTAAACTTGTACATCTTCATAAATGTATTAATGTAGATGGTGGAATTAATAGGAAAGGTTATTATCATACTACGGATATATATAGTTGTACAGTTGTACATACAACGGAAAGTTTAAATTTTGAATTATTAAATGTAGAAAGTGACATGTTTTGTAATATTTTAGAATACAAAAAATTAACGCTCATTATGTTTCTTCTTAGAAGTAACATTTTTGTTTGGTAATTTAAAAAAACTTATAAATTGAAATATGCTAGTTAATGCATTAATGTCTAAAACTAACAAAGTAACATGTACTAGTACATTTATGATAATTATTTTCGATCAACCAAATAAAGAATTCAACAATAGTAATGTAACGCCACGTAAAAAGCTAGTTAAATGATAGGATAACATAGAACAATATATGATACTTTAAGTCAAATAATTGATACGTAAATACGCAATACTAAATTCTTTTTTGGAGCAAGAAAGGGGTACTTTGGGGACTGTAAATTTATTGATAAATTTAAGGGTTCTTGAATTGGAATTAGCTCTATTCAGCAAATGGAATACTAACCCTAGCTTGGAAAGATGCATAATTGGAGATATGTCATCTTCATCAAATTAATAAAAAGCCAAAAATTACAAAATTTTCCTTTAGAAAGAATTGCACAAACAATGATGACTATTTTGGTTATGGAGGGACCAAAAGGAAAAAAAAAATTAAAAATAAAACATAAATTAAGGGGAGATAGATGATTAATTTTTCCCTTGGGCAAAATATAAAAATTATACTTTCTCCGTTCTTTTAATATCGCATCACTTGCCTTTTAGGGAAGTTTACAAAATATTGCATCAATTCCATTTTAGGATAAAAAATATCTATGTTCACACTGCAAATACCCTACATACCCTTACTTTTTCACACTTACTTTTTATTTTATTTTATATTACATGGACAATTTTGTATTTTTACATTTCTCTCTCTCTTACTTTTTCCCACTACCAAATTTTGCCCCCAAAACTCCATGATGCAATAAAAAAAAAACGGAGGAAATAATTTAATTACTAAAAAAAATTAAAGCATAATCACTCACAACCAAGGGAAAAAAATAAAAATTAAAAGGCCAAATGTAAAATATTGTGCCTTCTTATCAAACCCTAATTAAACCTCTCATCATATTAATCACACTTAAAAAAAATAAAAAATCAAAACCTCAAATTAATTTCAAAAAAAAAAATTAAACAAAAATCAAACCTCACGTGTGCTACACATCAAATTAATAGCTACACAAATTCTTCTTCTTCCCGGTGATGGTTGTTGTTGTATGGATACGATGGTGCTTGAAATGGAGTAGTAGTGATAATAAAGTGGTAGTGACTAAAAATGTTGATATACTTAGAGCTGTTTATCATCACAAAAAAAAAAAAAAAAATAGTATGGTCCCTTAATTCTCAAGAATGATGACTATGACTGGTTGTATCGTGTCGGTCGTCGCCATGATGGGAGTGGGACCCGCTCGCTTGTGAGTCGGAGATCCCTCCTCCTCCTTGTACGTTCCGATAAGGGTTAAGTCCGGTGAGCAGACCCAGATGATGAGCCTGCTCACCAGGACTCATATTATTATGACCACTTCCACCACCACCACCACCACTGTTATTATTATTACCGGCCCCCGAACCCATTTGGGGGCCCAGTTGTTGACTAGGCAATAGTGCCATAGGAGTAGCAAAATTCATGAAATGTAACCCACTTGGAACACTCCCTCTATACAACCCTGCACTATTATTCACTGATGGAATTGTCCATATTGGATCACCACTCATTACAGCTGCTGCTGCTGCGGCACCTTGATTACCACCATTTGTTACCATCCAAAAATTCGGTATTTGACCATACCCTCCTGCCCCAGCCGCTGCCGCCGCTCCGTATTCGCCTTCTAACCTCCTCTTTCTACCTCCCCCGCCTTCGTCGGCCGCCTCCGAAAGATCAAGCTGATTATTGTTATTATTATTACTATTATTCTGACTGTTGTTGTTATTACTGCTTGGACTACCAGCGTTGTTGTTGTTGTTGTTATGATGTGGATGGTGATGGCTCGAACTCGTAGTAGTCGTACATTCCTGCTTAGCTTGGAGCAATCCCGGATTTAAGTTCAAAGTAGCGGTTTGAAAATTGAGGAGTGCGGAGGAGGGTGACGTGTCGGAAGATAAACCAATGCCAGCAAAGAAGTTACGGCGAGAAGCCGAAGCCGCGGTTGTGAAATTGGGGCTGAAGTAAGATGATGAGGATCGAAGTTGCGAAGGTACGGAAAGAGAGGACCCAGAACTTCGGAGGGAAATGTTAAGAGAAGTAAAATTGGCGGGGATAGTACCAGTACCAGTAGCAGCAATAACAGCTGGTTCAGCTTGTTGTAGAAGCCATTCGATTGTTTCGCCATCAGATTTATGCCCTAGCTCCCTCGTAAGCTGAAAAACCCGGGCAGCGCAAAGCGCTGGCATCCGGATTCTACGGCCCCGCCCGTCTACTTTCGTGTGACGATCCTTGGTGGAGGTTCGTTTCGGGGCCGCTTTTTTAGAGTTCGGCCCCGAAGACGATTCCCCACCTCCAACAGGGGGCTGGGCCTGGGGAGGCCCAGCTGAAGTAGACGGGCCGGGGCCTGAACCACCCGAGGGAGATATGGCTAAAGAAGGGTTAAATGGGGTTGAACTCGAACACGCTTCTTCCTCCTTCTTTTCTAATAACTGGAACGGGAAATTTGGCCGGTGGTGGTTGTGGAATTCGTGATGATGGTGGTGTTGATGCGGATGATGATGATCTCCATCCATTATATTTTTTTTCTTTTGTTGATGTATAAATGAAGATAAGTAGTAGTAATACTACTGATTATCTCCAACTTCACACACACTTTTTTTTTTTTGGGTGGTAATACCCTAATAAGAAGAGAAGGGGTTATAGTATAATTCCTATACAAATGGTGGGACTAATGGGATCTCTTAGATTATAAATATAAAAAATATTATATTTATTCATATATCTATATCTTACTCTTTCTATGTCATAATACAAGTGGTTTTGTTTGAGAATTGGAGGTGATGAGTGAGTGAGGTAAGGTAGGAGGGAATTGAAGAAGAATTGAAGAGAGAGAGAGAGAGAGAGAGAGGAGATAAGGAAGGGAGGAAGCTTTAAGGAGCAAAGATAATGAGTGGGAATTATGGAGGGTGAGCTTTAAAAAGCAAAAATTTTTAGAAAGGAAATTGCTTTATTTGTTGTTGCCTTGATGGGTATGGAGTTATATAATTCCCTTCAATTAATTCAATTTCTATTAAATCAATTTTTTGAAAAAAATAACTTACCTTACTATATATCAATAAAATCGAACAAATTACCTGAATTGGCCCGTACTCGTGTTGAGAAATTCATGAAAATATATTTCCGGATAAAATATAATGACTTCAAGACAGTAAGAATGAATGCGACCAATCATAGAATTTTATTTTATTAATATGAATTTTTTTATTTTTTTTTACAAAATTAAATTTTTTTAAAAAAAAGTTCCTGAAATTGAAAAAAAATGAAATATAGAGGGGGTGGTAATCAGGGAGGTATCCTTTAAATTGTGGTTGGACAGGCCCTTTGGTTCAGAATCCACGTGAGGTGCTCTTTTTATCATTCAATCCATAAAGACAATGGTGGCCGGGTAAGGGAAGGGTAATGGGCCCCATTTCCCAAGTCAAGTAATTTAATTTTTCAAATTTATTAAAAATATATTTTTATAAATAAATAAATTTGGAAAGATTATTAGGTGGGCCCAATCTCCATTCAAGTAATCATTTCAATCTACCTTTGGCCCTTTCTCCTTTATTATGCACCTTTGTTAGATTATTTTGTGAATTGTGTGATTCCTCTCTTTCTCTCTCTAGAACACAACTTTCTCTCTCTAGACCCCCTCCAATTTTCTGGGCCTTTATTGGGCCTCCACTCTCAGGTGATTTTAAGGGAAGTTGCCCATATTTTTTAGGATACTCTAGTTTAGATTTGCTTACTCTTATTAAGTCTTAAGCTATACCCTACTTAATTGAAAACAAAAACCTAACATTACATTAGATGGATGTTAACCTTTCACTAATTCTCTTCTTCTTCAAAAAAAGTTATCATTTTGGCCTTTCTTATTGATCAACTAAAGGACACGACTAGCTTGATTGCTAGTACTAATTGTGATTCTCTTTTTGTACCTTTTTTCTTGGGATACTTTAACTATGCTTTGACTATAGAATACAACTTTTTTATTTTTTTTTTTTGTTTTTAAGAGAGAGGGTGGGGGTGGTTAGGTTGTATTAATCTCCCTAGATTAAGCTTTGATGTTCATTAATCATTATTATTGGTTGGTGTCGTACATACACGTCATGCTATATATGTACGCCGACCACTGTCAAAGCCTAGGCCAACTACTCTCAATCTTTCTCGGAGTTCTCTGTCAATTATCTATACTATTATTAGGTAATTGACAAGAGGCGAAGTATAAATAGTCACTACACGTAATTTACTGTTTAATCTCTCATTAACGAAATTCAACATTTTTTTTATTAATTAATTGCGGGTCATGTCGTCATGTCCATGTATTAGCTTAGTTCTCCTACAACATGGGAATTATAAGATTACTAAGGAGAAAACAAATTAGTATATGTATAGTACAAGGTTAGTATTTAAAATTTGTATTAATTATATGACTTATATCATTGTCAAATAAAAGGACAAATATAGTAAAAATTATATTATATTAAATTAAATCCCAAAAATTAAAAATGAAAAAGAAAGGTGGGCATGAGAATGAGAAATAAAGTGGAGTGGTCATAGATGACAGCAAAGACAATAGTATAAATTGCATGTTGGATCAAGTGAAAAGGTGATTAAATTCATCTGAAAACTTTGCCAGGTTTCAACTGTTTACTCCCACATGCTAAATATTATTTATACTCCGTTCAATACAAAAATTAATCCTACATACCAACAATATATACAGTAGTATGTACTCCATATAATTATTAATAATAGTATACTATAATAATTAATAACCCAAAGTTTTAGGTGATGAAATGAGAAAAAGGGTTAGTTTGTAGATTATGCAAGTAGTATATTTTAGATTATTATAATTTTTATAAAATACATACTTGTATAATATATACCGGCATCCAGGTATAAATATTTAAGGGAGGATCTTAAATTAGTTAAAACTTGGGTATATTATTATGCATGGTTTTTGTTTGCAGATAGATGAGATATTCCTTAAGTAGGGCCGTTTTTTTTTTTAACATGCATGGCGGCTGCCCCCCTTAATCTGACCACCTCAACCGTCGTAGCTACTTCAACCTTTGCCTACTAAGAGTCTAAGACATGCATTTTTTTTTTTAATTGAAATTTCTAATGTTCATAAACAAAAATGTTACAATCAATAATGTTTATTTCACATTTTATGATTGAATTTTCTAATATACCACTAGTACTACAATGTATGTATGAATTAAGTACATATTAAATCACATTTATAGTATAGAGAATATGTTTAAAAGTACAAGGATTTGAGCGTGGTTCATTCAGATCACAAGTTTTCCAATAGACTAACTTATTACAGAGTATTGTGTACATTGCAACCGATACAACTAATATAGGATTGAATCTGTCTTACTTCGTGTATTGGTTTAGCTAACAATCAATTACTTATACTTGCATGATATTTTTATAAAAATAAAAATAAATTTAAAATTTTAAGTTGATAATATATTGATGAATGAGGAGGGAAAGAGGGAGCACAAATCAATCAAGAACAACTTTATTGAGTAGGAGGAGGTGGGGTGAATTGCTTTTTGTAGTGTCTAGAATGGATTGAAATAATTTAATTATTTGCAGTACAGATGGGTATCCAATAAGTGCACTTTTGTACCAGAAAGAAAGCATAACAATGTAAATTTATAAAATAAAATAAAAAAAAGTTAATGGTAGATTTCATCATATTTATAATTTAGTTAACTTGGTTCATCATGATCATGCATACTCTAGGGAGGCCAAAAGGGGCCAGCCTACTTGTTATATATTTGCACGGTGTAATTTTTTTATTTTTTTTGAAGATTTTAAGGTTTATATTTCTTTGATGTGCTACTTTACCTCTCTTGTCCTTTTGCACTAACTTCTATCTACTCATACAGGAATTAATACTCACTTGCATGCATAATTAACTTGTTAATCTTGTTAGGAATGAAACACCAAACCCTACTTCAGTACTTCTGATCTCCCACCCTTTGAATTGAAGAAAATGAGTTGTAAATTCAATTACATATAAAGTATTATACTATCAAGACATAATTAACTATTGAAACTATCTACGGTATAAGCTCGTAGTTGATTAAACATTAAAAATGTATGCACATATATATACAAGTAAACATTACAAAAATTAGAGGCCATGATAATATAATTAAAAAGTAGGATGTATGGTAAAATTTGTTAAATGATTTTATAACACCCTATATATATATATATATATTGATAAATAAAAACTAAATTAAACAAATCATATGAAAACAAAATGCGTACATAAGTCCAATTTGAGTGAAACCGTCAATCACTATTACTTCTAGCTAGTTTGAATTGCCCTAATATGATGTTCATTGTTCAATTATGATTCTTGATATATGATGAATACTTCCTTACCTTTAATTGTATGATAGTGACATTATGTGTCTTTATTCTAAGCATATACTTCGTATTAATCATCTAATACAATTATCTATAAATCTTGATTGCACTTTTTTTTTTTTAATTTTATATTATTGTATATCCTAATTAGTGTCTTATTATTGTATCAATCCATTAAATCCAAAAATTAAAATTAAAAAAGAAGAATAGCCGTAAGTCTTTCATACATTAATGTGAGGTGACAAACTACAAAAATTAAATGGTGCGACTTGTCATCTATGGTACCACAAACATTAAGCCTGTAGATATATTGAAAAAATAATATACTAGTAACTTTTTCATTTTGTTGAAATGTCTTACTTGGTGAAAGAATTAAACATCCCCTTAAAAATTGGGACCATTTAGGGTAACAGGCCCAAATAAATAGGGCACTATCACTTTCAACACTGAATTTTTCTGATATTTTTCTAACCATGACTTGTATGAATTGTAACTTCTCTTAGCCTCAAATAATTCTCCTTCTGCCTTGCCCTCTTAATTCCTCGTGTGTTTATCAGAGCTACTTCTGTCAATTGAAAGCATATTTCATAATCCCTAACTTACTATGAACTGCATATATGATATAGTACTTGCAAATTTTTTACCGTAAATATTAGAGAATCTGTTGTGTCGGTGCATGAACTTCGCTTGATTTATATGGTTCAAATTTATTTATTATTATGTTGTAACAAATGTAAGAAAGATTAACAAAAAAAAAAAAACATTAAAAACAAACGTTAGTTTATGTAGCTTATTATAATTATATTATTAGCTACACATGCATGCAAGAGGTTAAGAATTTGATTCGTATCTATTTTAAGTCTTCTTAAACCAATAAATAATTTAATTACATACTCAACGAAATCGGATGTCAAGGTACGTGGTCCATAACGTTGAATACTCACACATATATAAGATTGGTATAATAATGGTATGAAAATCAAATGTCTCCTAAATGTAAACTTAAACTCGTCAACTCTATGTTAATGAGGTTACACACTTAATAAGGTATCACCAAAATTAACAACATTTGTAGGCATTAGCTGCAAAAATGTTGATGCAGTCTGGGATCTAATTATTTGTAGGCCCTAATAAAATGGTGGCCTTTGTGCTCCAGATTATAAAACATAGAACATGGTTGTTGTTGACATGTTTGGAACTGTGTTTACAGCATATATGATATTTTTTGAGTAAGATGGATTAACCACATTTGTTTATTTCAAGGGTACGTAAGAACGAGTGGATCGGATTGGAATTATAGTAACCTACAGATTTGTCCTCTTCATCTGAATTTAAGGGCTCGTTATTATGTATTTATGTATATATGATTATTGTTTGGTTTAAATCATTCTTATTTGATTTGGTTTGATGTTCGGGTCTAATTAAACTTAAAGCTTAATATAAGTTGGAATCTTGTTTGATTTGTTTCAATGAATGATTATAGTTATTTTCATTAGGTTGGCAACCATGAATCACATCATCATCACAAGTGTACATATTGTATATAACTTAATTAGATTACGTTCTCATTAACTGAAAGCAACTTACTTTGGCCCCAACTAAATATAGACTATACATTATGGAGACATTTGTGACGCTCTTTGCTTAGCTGCTTAGCGACTCCCCTTGCTTTTATG